CCTTCCCAACCATTCCCAAACATTCCCAACTGCTCCCAACCATTCCAGACCATTCCCAACCATTCCTGACTATTCCCGACCCTTCCCAACCATCCCCAACCATTCCCAACCCTTCCCAACCATTCCCAAACATTCCCAACTGCTCCCAACCATTCCAGACCATTCCCAACCATTCCTGACTATTCCCGACCCTTCCCAACCATCCCCAACCATTCCAAACCCTTCCTGACAATTCCCAACCGTTCCCAACCATTCCCAACCCTTCCCGACCATTCCCGATCATTTCCAACCATTCTCCACCGTTCCCAACTGTTCCCAAACATTCCCAACCATTCCCGACCGTTCTGAACCATTCCTGACCATTCCAAACCATTCCCAACCCTTCTTGACCATTCTCAACCCTTCCTGATCATTCCCAACCATTCCCAACCCTTCCCAACTGTTCCCAACCATTCCCAACCTTTCCTGACTGTTCCCAAACATTCCCAACATTCCCAACTGTTCTCAACCCTTCCCAACCATTTCCGACCATTCCCAACCGTTCTCAACCCTTCCCGACCATTCCCAACAGTTCCTGATCATTCCCAACTATTCTCAACCCTTCCCAACCCTTCCCGACCATCCCAAACATTCCCAACCATTCCCGACCGTTCTGAACCATTCCTGACCATTCCCAACTATTCCCAACCCTTCCTGACCGTTCCCGACCCTTCCCAATCGTTCCCAACCATTCCCAACTGTTCCCGAACATTCCCAACCGTTCCCAACCCTTCTTGACCATTCTCAACCCTTCCTGATCATTCCCAAGCATTCCCAACCCTTCTCCACAGTTCCTGACCATTCCCAAGCCTTCCCAAGCCTTCCCAACCATTCCCAACCTTTCCTGACTGTTCCCAAACATTCCCAACATTCCCAACCATTCCCAACTGTTCCTGACCATTCCCAATCATTCCCAACTGTTCTCAACCCTTCCCAACCATTTCCAACCATTCCCAACCCTTCCCAACCATTCCCAACCCTTCCTGACCATTCCTAAACATTCCCGAAAATTCTTGACCATTCCCAACAATTCCCAACCATTCCCAACCGTTCCCAACAGTTCCTGATCATTCCCAACTATTCCCAACCCTTCCCAATCCTTCCCGACCATCCCAACCATTCCCGACCATTCCCGACCATCCCCAACCATTTCCAACCATTCCCGACCATTCCCAACCCTTCCCAACCCATCCCAACCATTCCCGACCATTCCTGGCCCTTCTCAACCCTTCTTGACCATTCCCAACCCTTCCCAACCCTTCCCGACCATTCCCAACCATTCCCAACTATTCCCAACCTTTCCCAACATTCTCAACCCTTCCCAACCCTTCCCAACCCATCCCAACCATTCCCGACCATTCCCAACCCTTCACAACCCTTCCCAACCCTTCCCGACCATTCCCAACCATTCCCAACATTCTCAACCCTTCCCAACCCATCCCAACCATTCCCGACCATTCCCGACCCTTCTCAACCCTTCTTGACCATTCTCGACCATTCCCAACCATTCCCACCATTCCCAACCATTCCCACCATTCCCAACCCTTCCCGACCATCCCAAACATTCCCAACTATTCCCAACCCTTCCCGACCATCCCAAACATTCCCAACTATTCCCAACCATTCCCAACCGTTCTCAACCATTCCCAACCCTTCCCGACCATTCCCAACCATTCCCAACTATTCTCAAACATTCCCAACATTCCCAACCCTTCCCAACCCTTCCTGACCATCCCAACCATTCCCGACCCTTCTCAACCCTTCTTGACCATTCTCGACCATTCCCGATCATTCCCAACCATTCCCACCATTCCCAACCCTTCCTGACCATCCCAAACATTCCCAACTATTCCCAACCATTCCCAACATTCTCAACCCTTCCCAACCCTTCCCGACCATTCCCAACCCTTCCCGACCATCCCAACCATTCCCGACCCTTCTCAACCCTTCTTGACCATTCTCGACCATTCCCGATCATTCTCAACCCTTCCCAACCCATCCCAACCATTCCCAACTATTCCCAACCTTTCCCAACATTCTCAACCCTTCCCAACCATTCCCAACCATTCCCAACTATTCCCAACCATTCCCAACATTCTCAACCCTTCCCAACCCTTCCCGACCATTCCCGACCATTCCCAACCATTCCCAACCATTCCCATCCGTTCTCAACCCTTCCCAACCCTTCCCGACCATCCCAAACATTCCCGACCATTCCCAACAATTCCCAACTATTCTCAACCCTTCCCAACCCTTCCCGACCATTCCCAACTATTCCCAACCTTTCCCAACATTCTCAACCCTTCCCAACCATTCCCAACCCTTCCCAAACATTCCCAACCATTCCCAACCATTCCCAGCTGTTCTCAACCCTTCCCAACCCTTCCCGACCATTCCCAACAGTTCCTGATCATTCCCAACTATTCCCAACCATTCCCAACCCTTCCCGACCATCCCCAACATTCCCAACCCTTCCCAACCCACCCCAACCATTCCCGACCATTCCCGACCCTTCTCAACCCTTCTTGACCATTCCCAACCATTCCCAACCATTCCCACCATTCCCAACCCTTCCCAACTGTTCCCCACCCTTCCCAACCCTGTTTTTCCCCCC